GATTATCCTTCATTCATCAGGATGAGTTCATAATTGTGAACCTATAGATTTATTTGGGTTTCTTTCACCCACCATTCGCACTTTCCAGTGAGAAAAGTGTTGTCCATTGAAATATGGTGGCATGACTTGCAATGTTCCTTCTTGAAAGTGTGCCCTAATAGTTACTTGATTTTCTATGATCTTTTCTCACAAGCTGTTAAGCAAAAGTGTGAGACTTTTTCTGATACCAATTGAAAGTGCAAGGCAGGGGGAGGGGGGTAAATTTTTCTTTTTCTTTTCTTTTTCGAGGTAGTCGACTAATTTGCGTTATAGTCGACTGGGATTTTAAAAACTCAATATAGGAAAATAAATTGCAGAAAATAAATGACACAGAATACTTTTATACTGGTTCTGATTCAATATGAATCCTACGTCCAGTCCCTTTGGGTTGCGAATGTGTTCTCTTTCAAGTATGAAGTAGCTTAGTACAGATGGGTTGATGTTGTTATACACCAATAGCTTTGTCACTTTGTTCTTCTCTCTATGCTTGATACAATGCCTCACTAGTATTCTTTTCTCTCTTTCTTCTCTTCCTAGTTATACACGAAATCTATAGCAGACTACGATGCTTGTTTGAAGTAGAACATAGAGATTGAAATTGGTTCGATCAAAGTATGTCCTTCTTTGGCATCTTCTGTAGAATATATAACGAGTTGGTCACCATTCTTCACGGCATGATAGTATAATGATGGAAAGGCAACCCAAGGGAGTTGATTCTCAGAAACAATCAAGATGATTTTCTTCCAAGAATAGAATGGACTTTCTTTTTGTTGCTTTCTTGATTTCCTTTTACTTGCAAGCTGTTGAGATGAATATTTTATGTTATGCGTGATAGAATATTCTCTAAAAATCTTTTATGTAGATTGATTGATCTTCTATACTGATTGATTGATCTTCTATGCTGATTGATTGATACCTCGCGTAAATAGTTGAATCGAGATCTGTTTTCAATAAAACACGCAGTCGCAGCAATTTTACTCCTTGATTCTTGCCTTTGGATCTTGACTTGCACGTTTGACTTCTTGATTCTTGCTTTCAGATCTTCTGCTAGAATTTTTCCAATTCTTGTGACGTCCTTCTTTGGAATTGCTTTCCTGCAAGTAGAAACAAGTTATTGTCTATCATTAAAATATATATCTAACACTTCAACCCCCTATTTTGGCACCTGGTCACATAGTATAAAAAGATTTTTTTACATTATTAGCGTAATTCTACGTAGCAGGCAGCCCACCTTATTTTTCAAGTAACAAGTTCCGCTATTATGGATAGTTACTTGAAGGAACTACTCTCTTATAAATAACCTAATTGTGTAAAAATTCTTATTCATGTTATCCTCCGTCACCCGCGCGAGAATATTGTGTATGATGTAGCTGACAAGATAATCAAAACTTTAAATTTCGCTGCAGATAACTTTATTCTGAGTGTGCTTGCTGCTCGGAAGTCGGAACCTCCTTGAAAACAAATGTTTTCAGTTTTCATTTGTTTGTCCTTAGTAAAGTATCTTCATGATGAGTTGTGATGTTCACGATGGCAATTGAATATTGGATTTCTCTGTGTCATTTGGTTGGGATAATTTTGCCCTCGTTGTATGTTTCTAGTAAGTAGTAATTAAAATAATGCTTGATAATTTGCTAAATTTTTCTGTGTTTGAAATACATGGGCTTCGCTTAGACAATCTGATAGTTAATAAGTTACGTACCCTTTGTTTTGTTGGCATGATTTCCTGAAGTATATGTATAGTATACCCATTTGCACCTCCTGATATTTATAGGTAGCCGTCTTGCTATAGGTAGCGAGTCTGATTTGAATTTTCTACACAAATTTGTAAAAAATATGAACGTGTGTCATAGCTACTGTCTTGAGCCATAAATTTATTCTCTGAATTTCTGGTCTCCAAATCTAAAAGATATATATTTAAGATTCCTTGGTTTGCATATAGGAAATCATGACGATAGAGTTTGGTTGTCAATTTGTGACATTAATGAAGTAAACTTGACATTGTGTATTTCTTAGAGAGCGTGAACAAGGGCTGTGCAACTCTTCTCCATATTGAAAATAGTTTAGGCATCTGTATTTTCCCTTATTTGAACATTTATTTAGTAGCTGCCATGAGAACTAGGAATCTAAAAGTATTTCTCTTCGACAGAGCATTGCACGATTAATTATTTGGCATAACTCTTGACTTTAGGTGCAAAAATTGCTTTTGGATTTTGCGGAAGCTTTTGAGTTGGTGATAGCTAATTCGAGTTTTCCAAAGAAGTATTGGGGAGAGGTGATTAGGAAGGACATGACACATTGATCACGCCCAATTATGCCTCATTAAAAGGACTAAGCAGTTGCTGCTAAAAAAATCCGATTCAAGAGTCCGGAGTCGAATTCCACAGAGAACCAACCTAATTGCTAGAACTTTTCAGTATCACTAATGAAAAGTTCGGATAACTTCCGGTGTTCAAGATTTTGATTTATGAATTAACAGAAATTACTTAACAAACAAAAGATGACAATAAAAACTATCAACTAGCAAGAATGAGGTTGAATCAAGGACAAAAAGGTCCAGGGTTTATGAGTTCCCCAATTGCCGGATTAACTCCTAACACGTTAGCTATAATCTCACCACACCACTCTCTCAAGATTATAAGTTCTTGTTTATCGCAATTATCTCTCGATCAATTACGATAATTTACTAGAAGTATTCTGTCGAATTACTCTAGTTGACAATTCATACAACTCATAAAGATCACGCCAAAGCTTTGTTATCTCTAATTCCGCTATTAAATCCAAGTAATTAATCTCTTAACTTACTTGCAAGTGACATTGTTCAACAACAATCTAATCAAGTGTTCTCTCTCAAGCAACACAAGATAACTAGACACGATAAATTAAGGGCCCTTCAATTAACCACAAGAAGCACATAGTTGAACAATTAGAGAGTAAAAACGACTCAATTATATCAATACGCAATCAAAAATTCATCAAACAATTGATTCCGTTAATCCTAGATGACGAGTTTAGCTACTCATAATACTACTCAAAAATACATAAACCAAATTGTCAAACCAATATTCATAGAAATAAAGATAGAAAAGTAGAAAAAAAACTCTTCGATTCGTCTTCTTAAATGAACTTAAGGATCTTTCAGGCTCAACTTTGCTTCAACAATGGTGTTCCTTGCCTTCTCATTTCAAGCATGTGGCTGAAATAAGGGTTAGAAGCTTTTATTTTACGTCCGTGAGCCAATTGACTAAGTTCTCCCTCAAGACAAAACGCAGGCAAATATTGCCCTTGTGCTACAGTTGTGCTTCGCACAGGGCCTAGTTGAGTTTTCCAGATTTTCCTATGCTTTTCCTGTGCTTTTCGAAGTTACTTCACTGCCTGGTCCGATTTTGTTTTCCTTCAAAAATTTCCTTTTAGCTTCATTATTGCTCAAATCACCTCGATTCTTCACTCTTGGCTTTCTACATAACAAACTTCAATAATTAAGCTCAATTGGTCATCTTTCAACATTCAAAACACCTAAAAACACACCAAAGTAGGGGTAATACATATCCGATTACATGTATTTATAGCATATTATCACCACCCCACACTTAGACTTTTGCTTTTCCTCGAGAAAACACGCGATATCACAGACAAATCACAACGAAGCAGTCAAGCTCATTCAAACTCCATGTCAAGCGATTATTCAGAGACATCAACCACAAGAGTGAACACCTTTCTTTTGCTCATATTCATATATTGAAACTCGAAACCTTGCTCCTCACAAATCCCATTGTACCTCACAAACAAAGAGATGCCTCCAAAACACACATATATAGTAGCAAATCACAAGCACTAGGACAATAAAACAATACACTCACACTCATCAAGAAATTTCACATGTAGCACATACAGTACTATAAGCTTACCCATTCAGTCACTATCCACTAATGTAGGAGTCTCAATCCAAAGTCAGGTAGGACTTTTTAAAGCATATAATGTTGGCTTGGGGTAAGGTATGGACACTTTTGGTTATATAGTGAATAAATCTTCCCCTAAACACTTTAAGCGTCACTAACTTCTACGTTTCCCATTCTTTTCTTTGTAAACACTCTCAACATTTATTTTCCACAGCTCAAGCACATAAGTCCCCAACTTATTATTTACTTTTGTCTCCCACTTAATTTTCCCAACAGCATATTTTTTGTGTGTGGTGATAATGGAGCTTAAAAAAAGGAGTATTAACGGACTTAACTTTCATTACTTTCATTATTTGGTGCAACGTTGAGTTTCCAAGTACATAATATTTTCTCAGAACAACAACTTCTGCCTAATCACACAATTTGTAGTTAAGGGAAAGATGGGTCAACAAGAGAGATTAATGCAAAATGGACATGGCTTCTGTTTCCAAAAAAAGGTTAATAGGCGCAAATATGAACACTAGAGATATTCATTTATTTGGTAGGCTAATTTAGGCACAACAGGTTTATATCAAAGAAGGCTTACTATCACTTTAAGGATCAAAATTTCCTAGGATTTTGCCTCAAATAACAGGCAGGCAAGTTCTAGACTGACATGCATACACAGAAATGCACAACAAAAACTTCCCACACAATATATATGGAATTGACAAGTCACTCAGTTTCACCATCAATGTACAAATATGAGCTCAGAAAGAAGGTTCGAGAACAACTTAGATGACTCTTACAAAACACAACTTTTCAAGGAGTGAATTCTCTTTGCTTCAAGTTCTCCCTTTTTTCCTTTTTTTTAATTACAAAAAGAAGGAATGAAAATAAGAAGAAATGCTTAGTTCAAAAGAAAAGCTCACTGGGAAAGAACCAAGTCCAAGAAAATTCAATGAGATTACTATGCTAAATAAATTAAACTATACTATAGATAAGGTATTCCCCTACCCCACACTTAAGAATCTGCAATTTCTCCAATGGTGGAAAATAAAGAACAGGGGTGAAGAAATGATCTCTCTAAGTATCATAGTCGGAGTCGCCAACATCACAGTAACCAGCGTCCTCCACATCTGCATCACCGATTGTGCTATACCTGTGATACAATCTGCTAGCATACTGTTAAGGAGAAAAAAAATTGCCTTGTTGTTCTATCCATGTTCTATACTCTCTTAGCACACTGTTAAGGGGAAAAAATATTCCGCCTTGTTGTGCTATCCCTGTGCTATACTCTCTTAGCACACTGTTAATGGAAAAAATATTCTGCCTTGTTGTGCTACCACTATGCTATACTCTCTTAGCACACTGTTAAGCATAGAAAGTTTTTTTTAAAGGTTACAATAATTCATGAAACATTCAAGCTAATCCCTTCTCATGTGACCTTATTTTCTCCGCGAACTTCGTAGTTGTGTATTAATCCTGCAAGACAAGCAAACTAACCAACTAAAATTAATTAACATAAAAAAAGGAAATAAAATACTAATAATGACTTAAAATCGTGGGTTGCCTCCCACACGACGCCTTATTTAACGTAGTGGCACGATGCAGGCTTTCATGATTTCGCTTCGCTCACATATTGGGGCTCTTTCAAGTACATCACTTCTTTCTCTCCTTTTTCTTCAATCATTCTAAGGCATTGTTTCAACCTTTGCCCATTCACTTTAAACCTGTTAGTCTCATCTTCGGACTCAATTTCTAAAGCTCCACTTGGGAACACTTGCACAACTCTAAATGGTCTTGACCATCCAGATTTCAGCTTACCCGGAAATAATCTCAATCTCGAGTTGTATAACAACACCAGATCTCCGGGTTTGAAGTTCCTATCTAGAATGTGCTTATCGTGCATCATCTTCATACTTTCCTTATACAATCTCATACTCTCGAATTCCTGGAATTGGAACTCCTTGAGTTCGTGTAACTCTGTAATTCTACTTGTGCCCGCGATTTCCATATCTAAATTCAACTACCGCAATGCCTATAAGGTTTTATGCTCAAGCTTCACCGGAAGATGGCAGGCTTTCCCAAACACCAGCTTGTATGGAGGCATACCGATTAGAGTCATAAATTTTATGCGGTAAGCCCAAAATGCATCATCGAACTTCCTTTCCCAATCAGTCTGAGTCGCACTCACTGTCTTGGTCAGGACACTTTTTTCCCCGTTAGACACTTCCACTTGCCCACTCGTTTACGTGTGGTAAGGTGTGGCAATCTTATGGCGAACTCCATACCTTTATAGTAGCCTTGCGAATGCTCTATTGCAGAAATGAGTTCCACCATCACTGATTATAGCTCTCGGAGTGCAAAATTCTGTGAAAATAGTTTTCCTTAAAAATCCTATTACTCCTTTTGCATCATTTGTTAGAAGAGCCACAACTTCAACCTATTTGGAGACATATTCAACTGCTACTAATATGTACTTGCTACCATATGAGCTGACAAATGGTCCCATAAAATCAATTCCCCACACGTAAACACTTCCATCTCTTGAATTGTAGTCATCGGCATCTCATGACGGCGAGATATGTTGTTGGTTCGTTGGTACTCATCACAACTTTTCACCCAGGCATGGAAATCCTTGAATAGAGTCGGCCAATACAAACACGACTCCAACCTCTTAGCTTTCTACTTGCATAGTAAATTGGATGCACAATTTTGTCCTTTCGCTATCCCAAAAATGCTCTTATAGCATAGTCACTCGCATCACACATGAGCTTAAACAGGTTGCTCCTAGTCGGGTGCAACAATGATTTGGTTCAGTCACCAGTCTCTTCTTCAGCTCCTCAAATGCTAATCTACAATCATCAAAAAACACAAAGGGGTGATCCTTTTCAAGTAGTTTACATAAGGGATTAGCAATTTTAAAGAAATCTTTTATAAATTGTCTGTAGAAACCGGCGTGCCCAAGAAAACTTCTTACTACCTTGACTGAAGTGGGCAGTGGCAACTTCTCTATCATGTCAACCTTAGCATGGTCGACCTCAATACCCTTACTTGACACTCTGTGCCCCAAAACTATACCTTCTTGTGCCATAAAATGGCACTTCTCCCAACTCAGCACCAGATTCGTCTCCATACACCTTTTCAACACTTTTTTCAAATTGTTAAGACAGTCATTGAATGAATTTCCCACCATTAAGAAATCATCCATAAATACTTCCATAATATCTTCAACCATATCAGTGAAAATGGCCAGCATACACCTTTGAAAAATGGCCGGTACATTCCATAGGCCAAACGGCATTCTCCGAAAAGCAAAGATACCATTCAAGCAAGTGAATGACGTTTTCTTCCTATCCTCAGGGGATATTGTGATCTGATTATACCCTGAATATCCATCCAAAATGCTGAAGTGAGACCTCCCTTCCAATCATCCAATATTTGGTCAACGAACGGTAAGGGAAAGTGGTCTTTCAGGGTGGCATTGTTAAGTTTTCTGTAATCCATGAAAATTCACCAACCCGTGACAATATGAGTAGAGATAAACTCATTATTCTCATTATGTACAACAATCATGCCACCTTTCTTCGGAACACATTGGACTGGGCTTACCCAGACGGTATCCGAGAGAGGAAAAATGATTCCCGCATCCAGCCACTTAATCACTTCCTTCTTCACCAATTTCATCATGTTCGGGTTCAAACTTATTTGATGTTCCCTGAAAGGCTAGTGCCCATCATCCAAGAGAATCTTATGCATGCAAAGGCCAGGCTGATACCCTTAATGTTTGCCATGGTCCAACCAATAGCAGTCTTACATTCCTATAACACTTGTAAGAGTTTTTCTAACTGCACATCTAGCAAACTAGATGAGATGATAACATTTAAAGTAGATTTAGTCCATAAGAAATCATACCTGAGGTGAGCGGCAAGCGGTTTCAGGTCCAGCTGTGGTGGCTCCTCTATTGAAGGCTTTGCACGTGGTGGTTTTTCTTTCTTCTAAGTGTAATGGCTCATTCTAAGGTTCCCTTTTCCATAAATCTTGATCTTCAAGATCCATAACCCACTCTGCCAACTCTTCACCATCCACGTCTTTTAAATTCATCAAACAAGCTTCTAATGGGTCTCTGACATGAAGAGTCTCATCCTCCTCTAGTAGTATCACATCAACTGCCTCCATTAGCGAACAATTTGCAAATTCGCTGGTCCTTCTCATAGATTTTTGAACGTTGAATACTTTTCTTCATTATTCTACGTCATTTTCAACTCTCCAGTCTCGCAGTCAATCAATTCTCTCCCAGTAGCTAAAAATAGCCTTCCCAAAATTATGTGTACTTCTTCGTACTGGCAGTCAAGAAAAACAAAATCGATAAGAAATACAAACTTTCCCACTTGAACGAGCACATCATCCAGAATTCCTTTTGGCGTTTAACTATGGGATCAGCAAGTTGTAGAAATATTGAGGTTGGTCTAGCTCTACCAATGCCTAACTTTGTGTAGATTACCAAGGGCATCAAGTTAATACTGGTTCCCAAGTCACACAATACTTTAACAAAAGCATAACTTCCAATTGTTCTTAGGATAGTGAAACTACTAGGATCAGACAACTTTTGAGCCATAGGCCTTGTCACTACAGCACTACAAGTTTGAGTACACAATAGACAGGTCCTGGAAGTCAAACTTCTGAGACATAAAATCCGTCATCATCTTAGCATAGCCTGACATTTCCCTCAAAGCATCCATAAGAGAAGTATTCAATTGAATCTGCCTTACTATTTCCATGAATTTCATGTATTGATCATCTTTCTTTTGCTTTGCCAACCTTTGAGGGAATGGTGCTGGAGGTCGCTTCTGCCATGCCTGTGTCTTTTCCTGATTAGAAGTCTTTTCTACTACCTGTTCTGGGAACTGTTCAATTTTTTTTTTGGTAACAATTTGAATTACCATTAACTTCAACCAACATTACACTTATAGAGCACCTGATTTCCTGAATGGAAATTAGGCCTCCAACAAACTGAAAAATAACTAATTACAAGTGATTTGTCTAATGAAATTCCTACATTTTTGTGTTTTCTTTTACTTCTGTAGTAAATCTATTCTTTCGATCACTTCTCTCTTGATTTGTATAACTGTTCAATTTCTTTCTCCTTGCCTTTGTCAACTTGCTCTTCTCTGTGAGCTCCGTCGACTCATCAATCTCGAATGGCTCTAGAGTAGGTAGCACTGTTCTCTATTAGATTGAGCAAATCCTTGCTCTCTATCAAAATCCCTTCAATTCCTGAGACTCACTGCCATTAACTTCTTTTGGTTCTACTCTTTTAGATTGATGTGTGTATCTGTACGCAATTTTCCTTGTGGGCGATTGTTCAAAGCCATGGACAACTAGCCTAACTGAGTTTCATTGCCTTTAATAGCCAAGTCATGTGTGGCTAAATTTTGTTTCATCTTTCCATTAGTACCAATGATTTGTTGCAGCATGCCCTTGATTTTTATCATATTACTGTCTTCCTGTTCGGTCACCTGTTGTTGATGAGGTTATGGGTAAGCCAATTGTTGTTTGTGCTGCTGATTGAAACCCGGTTGACTTTGATAGGGCACAACTTGGACTTGTGGTCATGCTCCCACAAGATTGGTATTGTACTGTTGCTGGATTGGTCTGTACTATTGATTCTGAGGTCTTCATTGATGTCCACCTTGCCTCTGACCCTCAAAATCATTTACGTAATTCATGTCTTTTCTGAAGCCCTGATTATCATTTTCTCCACCGAGCAAACATATGGTTGATTGCTGCAAGGGGTGCATAGGCCTCCATTTGTCGTGTCAACAATATGACTGTCTCGTGCCCATCTCATTATTTCTTTGTCAACAAACTCATCTGGGTCATTAGAGTGGCTATGTTTTCTGCATTTATATTATTTGGGTCAAGAGCAACAGAATGCACTATTTGAGTGAGTGTTGTATCACTCGTCACCCAGCCTGATATTTGAGCCATCTTGTGAAGAAGAATCTTACACTCTATGAATGATTTGCTCAAGAATGCACCCCAAGCTGGACAAACTACATTAGCCTTCAAACTATCAGCCAAACCATATAGAATCTTTGTCCTAACATTTGATCCGGGATGCCATGGTTTGGAGACTTCACCAACATACCTTTAACCCTCTCCCAGGTTTCTTGCAAAGTTTCAATTGGTTTATGCTTGAACTGCAATATCTCATCAATATGCCTTGCAGTCTTATTGAGTGGATAAAACTTGTTTAAGAACTGCTTGACTAGTTCCTCCCAATAGCAATGGAGTTTATTGGGAGTGAATTTAGCCAAGTTTGAGCCTCCTAGTCATTGAGAATGGAAACAATAACAATATGATTGCTTCGGGTGTCACATTCGGCTGTCTCTGAGTGACACAAATTGATAGAAAAATCCTCAGATGTTGTTGTGGGTCTTCGATGTAAGACCCGGAGAACAACCCTTTGTTCTGCAGTAAATGCAGCATGTTGTTTGTAATTTAAAAAGCTTCTGCTTGTATCTGAGGGACTGCAATTGCAATTGCCAATTGTCAGCGGTTGGTTGCACCCAATCATATAGAGCTGCCTCCGGCAGAAGAGGTGCCATCACTCTAATATTTGGGTCAACTTGATTATTTCTATTGTTCTCGTTGATGTTCTCGATGTCACCCATTTCAATTTCGATTTGTTCATTCTTGTTTAGTTGTTTCCCCTTCTTGTTATCCCGATCAATGTCCAAAATGCTTTCTCGGGATCTGAGAGATGTTCAAATAGTTCACCAGTTCTCAAGGAGCTTCTAGGCATGCACCTGAGGCACAAAAGAATTCCAATGGAAATATTTTTAGCACGACAGAAAATTGATCTAAACAAAAAATCCTAGCAATTCCATCAAGTTATAACGAATAACACCATTAGTCTCCGGCAACGAAGCTAAAATTTGATCACGCCCAACTATACCTTATAAAAAGGACTAAGCGGTCGCTGTAAAATAATCTGGTTCAAGAGTCCGG